CGAGGGAGGGAGGAGAGGTCCTCCGGCTCCCAGGTACCTCAGGCGGCAATGGCCGCCGTGCTGGCTCAGTCGCCCTGCTGCTGCTCCGCTTGCTGCTGCGCTAATGCTGCGCTGCCGCTGCTGCTCCTTGCTCGCTCCTGCGCTAAACTTAGCACAAACAGCGCTCTGGCCCTGACCATACCGTACAGGTATAGTGCCGGTAGGTCGATGCCTCCAAGTGAGGCTGTACCGGTACTTTATACCGGTGGGGCAGAGGCCGGCCTCAATGCTGCGAGGCCTGGCCATGCCCTGAACCGTCCAGATGGACGGTTCAGCCCCAACCGGCGGGCGGCAGCCTCAAGAGCGCCGCCAGGCCCAAACGATAATGCCGTTTGGGCCTGCCCGTTGGGTACTGGTCCAAGATCAGGCCCTGAGGGCCTGTACTATCCCAAGGTCGGGCCTTTAGGCCCTGATGTGTCCCTCCGACCCTAAGTCGGGTCCGGTAGGGCCCGTGTGCGTCGAAGATGTAACACTCCATCTATTGGTGGGGAGCAGCACCTGCTGGAAAGTGGGTCCAGCGTCCCTGTGGAGTACAATGTGAACAATGTGTGAACAATGTATGAACAATGTATGTGAACATGAGATGTCAGTGTCCATGAGGGGCCGGGCAGGGAGCAGCCCTGCCTTCTGTTCTTACAAGTTATCAATCATACTGTTGTCGTTGTATCTTTCGACTGTCTATTACTGTCTATCTATTTGTTGTCTCATGTTGTTGTGTCTGATCTCTTAAACCCTTAAACCCTAGTGGCCTTTCCTACATGACGTCCTATGGTGAATGATGGTATGCATCAGTGTTGTGATTACTAAGCAGACATGCATATGCTTTGGCAGGCAGATGTTCCCTGCGGACTAAGTTTCTTGCCTACATGTGACGTCCTATTGTGAATGACAGTATGCATCAGTGTTGTGATTACGACTAGCCTAACAGACATACATTTGTTATAACTAGATTAAGCAGAGATGCATTTGTAATGGCAGAAAGCCACAGAAAGCTGCCGGGCCCATCTATTGAGATTGGGCTTTGGCATGTAGAAGTACACGGTGGACTAAGTTTCTTGCCTACATGCCTACATAACAGCCTATGGTGAGTGATAGTTTACACAGGCCTTGTTAACCATGTGTCAGACTATGCTGGACTATGGCTTTTGTATTCTGATACTGGACATGATTTTAGGGTAGTTGCCCTTCTATGACATAAAGTCTCCAGTTCCGATGTCTTTCTCTCCAACTCACTGGCCACCTCTTCATCCCCTTCTCACTCCACTGGTCACCCCTCTGAGGGTATCAGTGAGGCAGTGAGGCAATCAGTCCCTGGCCGGGTTAGTGACAGAAAGGGGGGGTGGCAGGTCATGAGGGAATGGTGGACAGGGAGGGGGGAGGGGAGGGAGGGCTAGGGGCGAGGGGACGGGGTAGGTGCAGAGTTTAGGAAAGGGGTTAATAACTTTAGACGAGGACAAAGTCGGTCGGAAGATAGGAGACTTGAAAGTGGTACGTCGGTAATCGTTCCCACCGCCTCTCGGTGAGAAGCCAGGGATGCCATGTGAGAGTGCGATCGTCGTTGAGACTACAAAGTCTCTTATTTGTAGCAGTCCAAGTTTCAGCAAATCTGTTCCGCAGTCCCAGTCTTTTCCCAGTGTCCTGCTCAGTGGCCAACTGGTTCTGTAGTTCTTTCCAAGCTGAGTGAGTGTTGGCAGTGATTGTGTCTATTATCGTAGACCGGGCTTGCATATAGCCATAATTGTGATGTTTTCTCTCATATGAACAGCGCATCCTCCAGGCTGCCATGAGCACAGTGAGTCTGGAATATGCAAACAGGTTAGTCATAAACGGAGACCAGTTCTCGGCCCCGGCCTGAGGAGTTCCTAAGAGGAGGGTGGATACCTCCCAGGGGAGGTGTTGTTCCGTAAGGTAGTGCCACGCTGCATCCCACCAGCTCCACAGTTGGATCACCATAGGGTTGGATAGGTAGTGCCACGCTGCATCCCACCAGCTCCACAGTTGGATCACCGTAGGGCAATCCAACAAGCAGTGCTCCAGGGTGGCTCTTTTATTAGGCAGCGTGTGGGAGCAGTAGGAGCACGGTGGGGACAAGACTCCTTTTTCCTCCAGGTCAGATTGTGATGTAATGAAGTCCGGAGTGGGTAGACACCTATGTATTATTTGCCACTGAAGGGCTCTGTGACTGGTCGGCCGTATGTGAGAAAATGCGGACCAGCAGAAGTTCCTGAAGTCCCGTTGCCCCAGCGGGGAGTCTCTCTCCCAGCTCTTAGCGATCTGATCCTCGGTCCTAATCGGTTTATGCGCTGCCCTATAGCCCTTCTTGACAGTGTATTGCCACAGGGCCATTGTTTGAGACCCTCCCCATGTCCATTCCCATTCCGACGGGTCGAAAGGGAGTTGGTGCAGCAGGGTGGAGGGTTCATATTGGAATAGGCCATCCTTTTGATTCCCCACCACCCTGATTATAATGAGGGAGGACAGTGGCAGCCGCGTGTCCAATTGTTCTTGTCGGTATAGGGTCGACCATCTGGCCCCTGGCATAAAAGGACAGTACGCATGAAGCGTGGCATGGTGGTCCCCCGTGTTTTGTACAGTGTACAGAACCATTGGTAGGGCCAAAGAGTCTTTCGTCACTACCCAGTCATTCTGTGCAAAACGCAGGCCCATTTTCAAGACTTGGACCCAAGCTAAAGGGATGGACTCTTGGCTAGGTTGTACTATTGTGTCCCAGGCCACTCTCCTTATTGCTAAGTAGCAAATCCGGAAATCCGGATATCCGGCAGACCAATTTCATCCGGAATTTTCAATCCGGATGAATTTTCCGGATTAATTCTGGATATGGAAAATCCGGCCCTGCGCAAAATATTTTTTTTTCCAAAAAAAAAAAAATTCGAAAAAATCCTAGGAAGATTCTCACGCCGGGCCGGTCGTGCCCGGCCGGGCACCCGGGCGTGACGCCCGGGGGGGTCTAACGCCCGGGGTACCCGGGCGTGCATTTTTTTTTTTTTTTTTTTTTGGTTTTTNAGAGAGAGAGAGAGAGAGAGAGAGAGAGAGAGAGAGAGAGAGTTTGGTGACATGTGGATCCAGACTCAACATTGGACTTCAGGCATTTTGACGAGGGATTATTTGGGACTTGTAACGAGATTTGGTGTTGACGACTTGCCCATCTCTCCCCTCCTCTTCGTCTGTGCATGGCTGGACTTGGCGCCTCTTCCTGTGTATAGCGCCAGGCCTCTTCACACCTTGTGATGAGAATGATGTATGTTTAGTCTGCATTGCGACATTGATTGGGCTCGTCATGAGTATTCTAGCCTTCTGCTTCGCTATCTTGTACTACGTAAAGAGGTCAGTCCCGGTCAAGTC